CACTTTTCCTCCTATACCATCCGCACGCTTCTTACGAAAAATGCCTATGTCATCTGCTGAATAACGGATATCGTCGACGGCTGCTATATATTGGCCAGGGTAGCTGTGCCAGCAAAGCATCGGACTCGCAAGTCTGCATCCCGACTACTAGCCCTTCGTTCTCATAGCTCATATATAATGTCTCATAGCAAGAAAACGGAGGCATTAAACTATACACTATAGAAACCACAACCTACATGGCTGATAGCATTGCAATGGAAGTCAGCGCTGCATCATAAACTCCCTAAAACGACGGTGCAACTAACGCCCATTAAAATTTATTAAATCTGAACTTGAACCTGAAAATCACCTAATCATCTACGAAAGTCGTTCACATTTCACGCCCTTGGACACCTAACGATTTCTGTCTATAACAACAACAAGAAATTATGATCGGTCGGTTGGATTAGCGGACTTCACAGATGGAGAAAAAGACCATTTAATAACAAAAAATAGCGATTATACCACAGAACATCCGGTATATCCGATGAACGGTTGATTAGCTGCGCCGTTTTTCTCTAGCAAACTGAGAAGAAATAGAAAACGACGTAGGAAGAAAAGAACCAGAACAAAAAGAAGACCGATGCAAAAAATGCAAATGGTGATGATCGCCGTGTCGCCGCCTTCGTCAACGTCAATTTGGTATTATCGGCAGTGTTTTGTGACATATGCTAATCTTTTCAGAAAAGAATGCACGTCTTGCTCACATTCGGCAGCTACCACGCCACTGTAGACCTAATCAAATACAGTAGCCATTGTATGGTAGTAGTAGAATATTGCGACAGCTACGGCGACAACGTACATCATTAGCATCAGGCTACAATTATAAACGATACCTTCTCATATATCGTTCAGCACAGCGATCGGCAAAAAATACAAATAGCAGCATAGGTACGATTTTATATAATCGAGAAGAAAGAGAAGAAACTACTCAGGTAGTCTGCGCACGTTAATTCAAATAACAAGAAACGCAAATGCATTTAAATCTACCAGCTATCAAATTTAAATATAATTAATTAAATTCGTCCAAGAATTTTACGCATCCCATTCGTCGCGTAACTGGAGGCCTGATTAAGCGGTACTAGTCTGCTGGCTGGTGCGCTGAATATGAGTCGCTCTTTCCTGAAAAAAAGAACATTTCGTTTCAAACCGTTGTTCGTCAAGTTCTCTTTCTGTTTTTAGTAACGACCTAATTTAATGCGATGCTCAGGCTTAAATTTGGGCTGTAAAAAATCGCTATTTCATTTGCTGTTCCTAGACAGCCAACCGTCTATTAGAAACACGACTAATATGTAGGAAGAACAACTCATTTAACCATCTTTAAAAAGTCTTGAAAGAGTAATGAATAGCAGGAGTGTGAACGCTCCGATGTGAGGTAGGAACGTACAAACACCTGATACGCCAAGGCTGAAGTTGCGTATAAACAGAACGCGAAATAATCAGAACTGTTCATCAAAAACCTCGATCAAAACCTTGCTGGCTGACGAAAAATGAACTCTCTACCTTACAATATCTAAATAGACGAATTATAAACATGAGCAGACCGATAGTTTGGCTGGAATTATCCTATTTGCTGATGGTGCACAAGGTCTGTGAAATCGAAGAAGCCGTGTACGTTTTAAAAGTACTAGTCCCGCTTGTGGCTAATCAGATTCCATCCTGTTATACTCGCAGAACTTCACTTTTTAATAGCTTTAAACCGAGTGCATCGTACAAATGGCACTAAAAATCCTGGTCTCATTATGATCCATGATAGCGTCAGATGTACACATCATAAAATAAACAACAAACATAATTCGAAAACATGCTTAAAAAACAGTTTTTCTATCTAAGCTTCAGAATAACTGCCATCATAAGAACATCTCTCAGAGCAAACTCTCAACTCGCTAAAAGCATTCTCAAGTTGTGTTTCTATTCTGATGATCAATACGTTCACAGAGTGCAGCTTTGATCAACGAGGAACAGTTTTTATATCACCCTCAAATGAGTGACTGAAAAATGGAGCGAAACAGCTGGTTCTACTTCTGCCAATCCATGCCTGGAAAGATGTCATCAAAGAAGAACTTACATCTACTTTCGAAGGATAGTGAAACCGAGGTTCGCCTCTGTATTTCCATCTAAGTTAACGGATAAAGGAACTTTGTGACATTGAAAGGCGAGACTCTCCATTGGCGATGCATGATTTCCTGAGAGCACATCAACACAAATCCCCTTCACGTTGAAAGCCCTGTGGGCTTCTCCGTTCTTGACACGGCACTTCAGTAAACCTTCAGTCTGCTGTGTGGATTGGTGAACACACGTATGAAATCGTGCTCGCTCGCTCAACATTTTAACCATCTATATATCAAAAGCATTTTCTCACAATTTCACCCCATACACTTGCTTATGATATGTACATCAAACGTCACCAATGTTTCAGTTCGCGTAGCCCGTAGTCACAAGGATGTTCTACCTCGTTCAGTCTTCTTACTTATAAATTCTCATATTTTGCGTAGACTGTGATTAGACTGATGCCAACCAGACTCCGTTCTTGTTACAGGTAACGAGATATCAAATTAAGTTAGTAATAATGAAAAAGGGTCGTACTTCGCCATCCTTGTTGTACAGAATGGTCTGGACGTTCAGGCCAACTCCCCAACTGTCTTCGCTGTCGAAAATGAATTGGGTGGGAGGATCATTAATGCCGCCTTGGTTCTTGGCCCAAATCTAGTAACAAGCATTTAGTGAAACAGTACCGGCGGAATTCTGTCCGGCGTGGCAACGCTCGGCACAAGACACTTACCTTGACGCTGGTTCCTGCTCGAAGGATGTACTTCGATGGGAAGGTGAACACCAGTTCTCGCTTTCCATCGATTTTACGTTTCAGCTTCCATTCGTCCAGATTTTCGTCCTAAAACCGGATTTAAAAGAATTCTCTCAACGCGAAACAAGGTGAAGAAAGTCTTAAAACGAGCACGGGATTTTTTACCTTTGAGCGATGGGTATTTTCCAAGACGATGAACTTTCCTTCCGGTTGGCATTCTGCTATGCTCACATTGCCTTTAGCAGAACGTTGGAAACTAGTGCGTGTAGCCATCTCGCCTTTGACAACACGCATGCTTTCTGAAAATAGCAAAGCTTATGTAGCAGGTACATGAGTCAGCGTCACAATGACTGTCGACCATACTCGACGGTCGACGGTTTTCGAGCAGTAAGAAGTTCAAAAGGATAAATGAAAAATTAGGAACAGTCATCACCGACTGAATCAAAGCCACGATATGAAGGAAGAACTAATTTCAACTTAAGCACATCGGTAGCAGACGACGCCAGCAGCAGAAATAACACAAAA